AAGTTAGATTGCAACTTGCAAAATACGAAACTTTGGGTACATAAATTAGTAGTAAACACAAAATACTAAGTATTTTCTAAATTCATATCATAGTAAATTAAAGTGTTAAAGTAAAAAAGGTTAAGTTTTATTTTTTTATTTTTTTCTAAAGAACAACTAAACAAATGGAAGTGTAGTGTGTACCGTGTTGCTGTTAAATCTTAGTTTATAGGCAAGTATGCAACTATAATCTATAGTTGCCTTTGAAGAGTACTTACAAACTTAGTAATTAGTATAATAAAATAAGGGACATAGTAAGTATCGTATCTTTAGCAAAAACCTATATATCCTACAATTCCAAGTTCCAACAGAACGTGTCATAGCACCTTTTCTTGATTTATATTCTAAAAAATGTTTAAGCTCTTCATTGCATACGAGTGAAACCTTTTTTCGTCCTTTTTGAATTGTTGCAAATTCATTTTCATTTTAAAGATTTTATAAAATATTTTATCAACTAAATATCATTTTAAATGTTTGCCTAGGCCGTTCAATTTTCAATATTATGGAGAATTTGAATATTTTTTCAGAATCAAAATAAGAGTAAGCATTACGATTTGCAACGCACTAATGCAGCATTGGAATTAGAATAGTTAGACTGACTGAAAAATAAAACATTCATTTTTTGTCGGTCATCGAATAGATTGTTGACATGAGCGAGTACCTACTATACCCGAATACATACACTTGAGTACTTGACCCGTTTGAATATGGCCACACGTGTTTTATGTTGGCCGATTATTGTACGCAGTGCGCGATTTATATTATATTTATTTATATTTTATTTTAAAACGAAAACGCTCCGTGTGTACTATACCTTGATGATCATTTACGACTTACGACATGGCAATGCAAACAAAGTTGATTATAAAAGTATGATCCTATTAGAATCTAGTAATTGCACGTGGCCTCTAAAGTAGGTAGGTACTAATGTTTTATTTTTTATCACTGTTGATGTCAATGACCGTCTAATATTCATCGACATCTGGTGTAGGCATCACTAAAGTAGACTTGCCAAGACGTCGCTAGATGCCGCCACCATTACATATACGAAACAAAATTGATTTAATTCATTATCGTTTGTTTAATTGTATCACAGTGAATGTCATCGTAATAACCTTAATAAATAATGATTTATATGAATTTGTGGCAATTGAATTATTTTTGGAGAGGGCAATAATTTCTTGACCACTTAGCCGAAAAATAAAAACCCTAGCGTCACGCCTCAGCAACAGGCAAATACAACTAAACGTCCATATTGTTTATTATTTTTATATGGTTTCCGACTTTTAATAATAATTTATGTACCTCTATTGGTTTTATATCAAACGCGAATATACTCCAATACTTTATTTTATAGTTTATATTACAATAAATCATTGAAATAGATTTAAAAGCAATGATAAATCGTAATTTTTGGAAAGCAATATTCACTACGTTAAACTGATTGCTATTAAATTTCCTAATTTAGTAATTTATGAGTATTAAGACCGAATCGTGACAGTATTTGCAATGTTTTAGTTAATAATAAATTACAATTTAGACTTTTAAATAGTAATAATTACATAATGGTAAACGTTTTAAATCTCTAAGGTTAATATTTTTTAAATACAACAAAATAACTAAAATCAATTTAGGAAAAGTCGTTATTCTTCGTATGAATAACCAATTTTGTCAAAACTTGGTCTTCACAAATTCATCAAAATTATAATTGGTACTAGTTTTTCCTAATTACTAATACAAAGTACTAACTAGTCAACTAAATACAATTTTAAATCAGAAACCACACAAGTTGGAGCATTTTTATTATTTTCAAACGTGATGACAGACACAATAAATATAAATTTATAATACATTTAAGTACTGGAGTACAACCGGACACCGCGGTTATCTACTCATTGGTCGATCATGGACAATCACGATTCAAGACATTCGATAGATGCGTTCGAACGGTAACGTCAGTGACATCTACTTGTCTAATTTTAAACTTTCCTGAGTGCACAAAGGACCAGCAGTGACTGCGCATCCGTCACTAGATCCCAGACAGTATACATTTTTTTATATTTTTTTCTTAATTTATGATTTTGATGTTTTTTTTCTTTATTTGTCACCGCCAACCAACCACTATTTAGAGTGAGACACTGGCAGATGGAAATCTCATAATTTAAAATTAAAATTAAATTTATTCAAATCCATTCTACTCAGTGATTTGAGTACAATAAACTCGTTGCATATTTAATATAACAATAAAAATGACGATTAATGCTTATTTTGTTGTAATTAAAAAACAATACTCGGAGCTGAGACGTAGGGTCTTGAAACTTTTTACCACTACCTATATTACTATTATTATTATTACTAAACACAATCAAATTTTCAAAAAATCTAGATTAATTTCAAGCTATTTATATCACACTTTCTTATTCACAACGGTCAGTGGTACTACGGTATTGGCTTGAAATCTATGGAAAATGGCAGCAAGTTATATTAATTTCAATAATATAATAATAATATGGGTAATTCACTAATGGGTATGATTTGTTTTGGAAAAATTTAATTAAACCAACCGTATTAGTGATTAGAAAAAAAATTACAACATATAACACCGATGGTTATAAGTACACTAATCTATAATAATACTATATAATAAATCAATGCTGATACCAATATAAATGTACAATAAAATATCCATAGAAATATAGACCGATGGAACGTCTCCGCTCAGAATCGTTTTTTTTTTTTGTATGCAATAATTGATATTATCATTAAATTCAAATTTAACACATCCATTACAGCAGTGACCTACTAAATTGAGTGGTACGATCGACTATCAACACCTTCTGTACAGCGGAGATAGTACCAATATTTTCTGATTTGATTTTGATAAGATTTAAACTTTTGACGTTTGATTATACTTTCAATTAATAGAGTAACATAGCAATTCACAGGTACCCTTATCGATATGAGGATATGGAATCTTAATTTTCACAAATGTATATTAGTGTATATAGTCAATTAAAAGTGGACTTGGGCACTTCGACAACCCTGTTCAAGCTCACTTGGTTAGTTAGATTAGGTTACCTAACAAAAACTGGTTAGTGGTCCAAGTATTCTCTATTGAAATATAATTTAATACCGGTAAGTATATGAACATGTATAACAAATTACAGAACAGTATAAGTACTTAAGTAGGCAAGTAAAAAATTAATGGGCTTGCAATGTTTACATTGTGCAATCGCAGATAGGCATCAAAATCATCTTTTTTTACTGTAAACATGATATTATCAAGAATAGATTTAGATGAATGGATACGTTTATCAACATTTTCATTTGAATTGTTTGTTCTGATTGTCAAGCAAAACATTGCACTTCAGACTTACAATAAATTTTCATGTGCTAACATTGTACCCAGTCACCCATATGGCTACGGTCAAACTACCAAAACAATATTATAGCATATACATATAATGTGCACAGTACACATGTACTATGTGTCTGCTGTACAATAGTATTTAAGTTATGAGATAAAATACAAACATATTATGTAAAGTGCATACGTATAACCTACGACATAATAATAAGCTGTGTGTACGGATTATGAATTATGATTAACTATACTGTACACTCTATGTAGGTCCTATGTATACACACATAATAATATAATATTGTATTAAAGCTACTCATTATTGATGTAACCTATGATAAATTACATTCCGCTAGAGATGTAATAAGGTCAATTAGTCAAGGATTTAATAATAATATTAATTCTAACAAATAATAAAATATATATTAACAATATTTTGAAGGTCGACTTGATACGATGGATCGTCTTATCGGAAGTTTTGTCTTGGATTTAAGTTTCCCCAAACTCATACCTGCAAGATTTAAAGTGACCCATAAGGCATAGATATGAAAAGCATTAAACAACACAACTATTGCATAGAAGTAATCTTAGCAGTTATAGAGTGAAACCTAACATTTAAACTCAAAACTGTAGTTGATGCTTAGGTACCTATATGGCTATATTAGTTACGACTTTATACTTATAAGTTAAAATTTCTTTTTTTAAGTAATCAACATCGAACTTTTGAATTTTTTTTATCATTTTTTTGTAGAGTATCGACTGTATCGAGTAACTTTCATTTATTCTAGCACAACGATACTCCATGTAGACAAGGATCTTGTGGCTAATTTATAACATCACGATAGGCAACTCATAGGCAAGACCTATATCTTATAAATAGTTTATTATCATGGTACTGATTTGAACGTATCTTGACTGTCTCTGTCTTCATCGACTAATTAGAGTAATTAATAACATAATTAGATATGCATCTATATATCTACATATTTATTATTTACTATTATAATAGTAATAATAATAATATTGTTTATTACGGAATAAATACTAATTACATTTTAAATAAAATAGTTATACATGAATACTCAATACATTATACTATATCTTACACTTAACGTTTAATCAATAATTTTAGGTAAATTACCCATGTACCATATGTAGGCCGCATTAACCGTTGCTTCTAATTGCAGTTTACAAAAATATAAATATAAAACTATATGCAAAGGATAATTAGGTATCCAAGTAAATCAATTGTTAAATCAACTAATTTAATATATATTTTTGGAAACTAGAATACAATGAATACATGTACATCAGTAGTGTATACCAATGCTCCAATAGGCTTCCAAAGAATGTCCAAGTCGGGGGAGTATTAAATTAATTGTATCATTAAATTTAAAAAAATATAAACAGTTGGCATGTTTACTCAAGTGAAAGTTCAAATAGTTTAATAATTTGAAATGGGTACATACAATGTTATTGTTTTTAATATATTATGGTAATTTATGTATTTATTTTAGAACAGGTATCATATCGATATTGTCATTACCATATTTTTTACAGCCTATCACTATATAGTACACATATATTACAATGATTTATTTACTATTATAGTTCAATTCATATTTGAGTTTATGTTTATAAGTTTGAAAGGGGCCTTCACTAACGATAGTCGATAGGCCCTAAAGCTAACCATTGTACACTGTGGAGGATAAATCATTTATTTACATACTCTCACAAACACAATTGAATATTATTAAAAAGTTCTGTTGCTCTTAACTTATAACTCAGAAATTAATTTTTTCGTCGGTAGTTTGTTACAACAATTATTATTTACTCTATAACCATAATTCTGTTATAGTTCATATATTTTATACTACAAAAAACGTTTGAGATATGCACCTATAATACCATCCAGTATGTACATTTTTATACATAAATGAATAATATAGTATAAATTACCAATTTATTATAATAAGAATAACGTATAACATATAAATATTTTAAAAGTTTATCTTAATCTTTTATGTTTACCACTTAAATAACAAAAAATTAGAGAATAAATTTTTTATATCAGTGAAAAAAAGGATTAATAAATATGAAATACAAAGTTTCCAATATTGAAATCAGGCTCACTCCACGGCACAAATTCGTCAGTCCAGCAATTTTACCTTAAAAAATAATTGTAATTATTGAGTAAATTAATTCAAGTTGATTATTCAGAATAAAATATTTAATTGGATTTTGACAAACCTATGTAGCCTATATTAGTATCTTTAGCGTTCCTTCTCAAAGGCCACGTGTGTTCCAAATTAACTGTTGCTTCAATGCTGGCCAAATTATTGCTATACAAAGATAAGTTACATATTATATTACTAGAGCTGGGATTTCAATGCACTGAATCTTTTTTCTAGTGCTGTAACTATACAATGCTCGTTTTGGTACAAATCTATTTTGTGTCAATATTGTTGAATAGATATACCTACCAACTGAATTTTAAATTACAGCTTTTAGCAGTTTTGGTTTTTAGAGACATTTTTCATTTTCAAGATTTTCAGAGATTTTCACGTATATTTATATTTAAAAAAAATGATTTCAAGAGCAATGCAATTTTTAATATATATTATTCTAAAAGCAGTGGAAACTGGAAACAATTAAATACTTTAATTGTTTATAATCTTGAATTTGAAATTGCACACAACTTATAAAACCAATACGGGTCAACAGATAATATATTATTATATACCTACCTAAAGTTATCTACTTGGGTGTTGTGAGTGAATCTAATACAATTATGATCATCGTTGAATGCAAATAACCCAATTGAGCATCATTAAAATATTAAATCAACATAATATAACCAAATTATCATATTTATATGTACCTACAAGGTGAAATACTATGGTAAATTTTAAAGATTCTATACATTTAATATTTTTATATCATTAAGTGAATTTATCATAAATGCATTCTAGGTATTTTTTTAGTTTTTATAGGACATCTATATTCCCGACTCTATGTAGTATTACATTATTATTGTTATTATTATAGTGTTTGTTAATTGACTAATATATTTATCTAATGAAATTAGTTTTGGTTTTTTCAAGTTGTGAAATAACATTGATAATTATATTATTGTAATACTATTCCAATAATAACAATAATATATTTTTTTTCATTTGTTCATATTACAAATACTATTACATGATTAGAGATTTCAAGTTACATGTTATGTACCTATTGTGTGTGTTGATGTCGTAGTTTATAACAAATAATATACAATAATATGGTCAATTCAAGTGTCTACAATCATTATTTTGAAAAATTTTAACTTTTTGAAAGCATCTTTTTACATAATATTATAATATTGTGTCTTAGCAAACGAACTTTTTTTGGAGAAAATATTATATTTTTTACAGTTATTATTTTTTTTTTAGTAATAATATCAAAGTTTTATTTCATGTTCCGAAGCAAATTATTTTTTTGGAGTATTTTGATATATTCAAAGTTTTGATGAATGAAATAGAGTGGAAAAATGTTGATGCACTACTCCGATCATACATACGACATACCTATTGAATAGCAGGTTAACTATAATTAATTAACCACTAGTTCGAAATTCGGTTTTTGCATATCTACGTAAGGTCTGCAAAAATATTTTACTTCGGAATATGAATTCAAAAACTGATAGATATTTGAAGAATGAAAAACTTAAAATAATCACAATAAGAAATTAAAATTTTTTTTATGTTCTGAAATGGCATATTATTATTAAATTAAAAATAATAATATTTTCAAAATAGTTGAAAATTTTTGATATATAATAATTAATAAGTATAGTCTCTTAAACGGATCACCTTATTGTAGCGTTTGGAAAGTTCACTTAAAAATTGAACTCATTCAAGTTTACGTTCAATAATTTACATAAAAGAAACTTGTTCACATTCACATTGATTATTTTTTTAAAGGAATACGTCCAAGTTCGAGTTGATTAAAGGAATGAAGGCGTTCATTCGGTTGTTAATTTAATTATTTATTTAAAAATGAATAACTATCAATAGGTACCTATAGATACTATATATAGATTCTATAGAAATGATACATCACACAGAGTATACGAGAAGTCTATGGCAAATTATGGAAAACCATATGATAAAAAAGCCAAGTGTAATTCAAATGTTTTAATTTTTAGTTTGAATGTTCAAGTTGTTTAAAAAAAATATTTATTTTCTTCATGTCTATACACTCTATTTATAAGAAATGGGTGACGTTCACGTGTCGTTCATTAAATATGAACGTGAACGCAATAAACGTGCGTTCATGAACGCGTTCTTTCCAAACACTGCCTTATTGTATAACATAGTTTATTTTCGGATTACAACATGTTATATTATGATAAACTTTATTTCATTTTATTTATGTATTTTTATATGAGTAAGATATATGTGTATGGGTTATGTATATCTTTGTATTATTTATTCTTTTGTTAACTAAGCAAAATGTGCCATACAGTTGTAAGCCACACTATTTAATGGTAATGAATTAATAACAAATACATTTTCTCACCTGTCAGTTGAGTCGTTCAAAAATGTTAATGATTCTTTTATATAGCTGAAGTTTTTAGGTACTGTAGAATAAGATAACTCGTAATCAATGTCTGTACAGGATGGCAAACATTTGCATGTACGGTATGCTCTCTGTATAAGAACTAGGTAATAAGATAAAAATATTATGATTTATTATTTTTGTAAAGTAACTAAATCTTTCATTTGAATAAAGTTTTATCGTTGTATAAATTATGTAATATTTATGTACACAATATACGAGTATATTACAAATTGTTCGTTATAACTTGATAGCTTTCTCGGAAGCTACAATTTAACAAAACACGTTAAATATTACACTCAGTATAATACAAATACAGTGTTAAATTTACTAGCATCTATCTATTTTTTCCATTCTAGTCACTTCGGTTATAATACAATACAACAATTAATGAATTATTTGACATGTCTTTTATAGTTTAGACATATTATCATACCATCATACTGTACATGATAATATTTTATAGCGCAGAAATTTACCTGCGGCATTTGCTAGACATTCGTTCGATTTGGGTCCACACACGGGAAGAGAACTATCTGTTGAAAAAAAAAATCACGAAAGTTCAATAAATTTAGTTTGACTACCAATCATTTGTTTGTGCCTATACAATTATTTTAATCTAGCCCTTTGTAAAAAACAAAATATTCTAATATAAATATGATAATAAAATACTTCATAGATTATAATAATTGTTTTGATTAGGATATTAAGAAGTTTGTAAAAGAAAATATATTTTATTTTATCTTACTTATTCTGTACATCGGAGCGCAACCACACAAAGTCTCAGTATAATTCACCTGACATTCGACATAACAATTTATATACGAATATACTGAGTTGTGCCTAAGCCACTTCTCATTCAAATAATAACATCCTCGTTCTTCAGGTGTCCAACTTTTTAAACCATCGTCGGTCAACGACAAGTGAGTTACTATTTGAACAAAGCTATGACTGCTTTTTGAAAGTTTTAAAGAAGAATGAGAATAATCTGGGACGTCTGATGGACTATGAAAATAAACCTGAAATAAGCAGAATACATCGTTTAATACATAGATAACTAATATAAAATTAGTTTTTTTCAAAAAAATGAAAACCAATATATATATATATATATAGGTTTAATACATAAATTATAATGATTAATGAGTTTTATAATAACATTTTAAAAATCCAAAAATTTAAAATAATAACTGTGGATCCATATTTATTTATTATTAAAAATTACATGTTAATAATATACGACCATTTTCTGATCTGAACATCACGAAATAATTGAGTTATTTACAATTATTATTATTGTGTACATTATGTATGAATGTTAATCAACTAGGTATATACAATCAATTGTAATTTTTAACATTATTTTAAGTACAAGCGATGGTAAAATAGAACCATATGTGCACATAAAGAGGATTTCTATTTATAAAATTCGAATTATCTACAAAATCTAAAAAAATATTGATAAAATGATCATTGAGTCATCGAAGACTTTAATACAGTTTATTTTATTAAAAAATGTTACTTGATGTATTAGATCATAAACCATTTATCCAGATTACAATTGCATATAACATACATTACCTATATCACATATTTAAATCGATGCATGTGATCATCAATTCGTTACTTATTCTATTTTAATAATCAGCTCATCACCACCAAAATTAATTCTCATTATTCCTCATTCTCACTATGAACTTCAAAATACTCTTGTGTTATACTCATCAACACACTGCATTCCACATTCCTTACTGCTAAACTGCTCAACACTCTACTTATTAAATAAACCGAAATAATCCAAAACACGAAACTGGTAAAATATAACACTTTTTCGCTCGAATATAAACACTTTTCTCTACTTTAAATATTGCTTTAAATTGGGATATCAAGCTCTTAACTCTAAATAAAAATATGCAATCAATTAATTTTAACTCATAAGCTTTTTTAAGCCGATTACACACAATTAATCTAATAAAAAAACACACAGAAAAAAAAATATTGAAATGAAAACTTAAAATGTCTTTCTTTAAGTTCGTAAATATATATTTAAACAAGTTAGCACGAGTGCTAACCTAATTTCATCGATTAACTGAAAATTAATATAATACACTCAACTGTAAATCCTTGTTTACTTGAACACCCATAATGTGCATCATTTTGTGCTAATATAAACTCAACAGTATTCCAAAAAGCTGTCGATTTCATGTTCCATGGTATATTATTTGATATTTTATTATTAGTACTGTAACCATCGTCTGAATTCCAGTTACTCGTTAAAATTGACCATTTCTTACCTGTCTGAAGTACATCTTCTCTAACAAAATTAAATAATTCTAATTAGCAACACACCAAATATAAAAAACAATAATTATGGCACAATACGTTGCATAATAATAATCATAATAGAATAGGTATCTGCCTAAATGATTATATAAATTCATGACTAAAATGTTAAAATAATATAATATTTATGACTCATATGAACCATGAATTATACATCTATCTATACAGATTTAAAATAGTTAGATACTTCCATATCTGTTATAAACAATTTTCAATATGAAATGTTCTATAGTTTTGTTTAAAATGAATAAAAAATCATGCCTCTACTGTAACATTTATTGTAAATATTTTAAATTCTAGCTTTTGTATGAAAAACTAGTACACAAATTAGCATTTTAAATTTAAAAAAAAATTGAAAAGGACGAACAAAGTTTGATGTTCTGAGCGTTGTACATAAATATATATTATCAGTAACAATAGTGCTTTTAGAATACCTACATATATAAAAAACATAGTTATACAGAGTGATCCAAAATTATTAATTTAATTTCAGTACAAATTTTAAGTCTTGAACCTGTAAGTTTGTAGTAAACGAGATAAGGGAATCTTTTGCTCATATTTATTACTGGTATGTTGTGTTGATTCGTTTATGTCGAAATCGTTGAATCCAAAAATCACACACTTGAGATAAAATACAAGTCAAAACCGCACACTTTAAATAGTGTATAATCATAAACTTTTTAAGGTTGTGTTATCCAAAAACTACACACTTTATAATGAATTTATAATTATTTGAAAACATATGTATTTTTTATTGTAAATTACATTTTTTGGCGAGGAGGGGGGAGGGGGTTCGAAAATGATAATGTTTATGTGTCACCCTCCGAGAGATCTTGATGAACTGAAAAGTAACATTTTAGATGTTCTTATGACGCTTCAACAGGCTTATGAGGAATTTGAATGTCTTCATTGTTTACATTGAACATAACTTTTGTAAACATAGCTAACTCGAAACACTTTTCCTAACTTGTAAGTTGTAATTACCTAATAACTCAAATTTCACAATAAAAAAGATGTTTTGAAACCAAATGATTAATTTTGAAACACCCTGTATGTTAAAAAAAAATATATTCATCTTACTGCTTTAAGTTCTTTATAAACTTACAATTTGTTTGGAATTTGTCTATACATCTCATGATATGGTAGAGCATTAAAACTGTAACATAAATTATTTAATAAAAATATAGGCTGCATGATTTCGCAAGGATTGTCAATGATTTTATCTTTCCATCGAATTTGCTTTATAGTATCTTGGCATTTAGTTGAGAATTCCTGAAAGTGAAATATATTTTTGAGAATGAAATATTTAAAATAAATATAATAAAATAAAATCATCGATTTTCAAACCTCATCAATATTGAATCATTATTGATGCACGCGTGTGCATTATGCATACACCTCAGAGTACATTTAATTAAATAATTCAAAGTACCTACTAATAATTTTAATTTCATTTAAATTATTTAGTAAATTTAAGACATTTCTTAAATAAGTTATTAAATTACAACTTACTTTTTAAAATAGTAATGTTTCTTTAAAATTAAATTTAAAAAAACATATTATTCCATATATTACACATATCAAATTATCAAACACCATGCTTTAATATAAGTACATAACGTATTTTTATTTAATTGATATTAAACATACTTTTAGTACATTATAGACAATTTTCGGATTTATTTTTTCCAGCTTGTATATATTATGTTTCCAAGAACACATATCATATACCACGTTCAGAGTCTGCCATCTATACAAAAACAACCAGTAAATATATTTTCTGAAATTATTTATTAATTTACAATCGTAACGATTAATATTTAATGCTATTATATTATATTGGGTTTTTGTGTTTATAAGTTATAACTATTATAATGGTGTGTTGTGTGTAAAAGTACATGCGATAGTTATGCATGCTTATTTTCACTAATATATAAATTTAAATATATCATTAATTATGATTCAATAGTTTTATAGATTTAAATTTATTAGCTTTCATACATTTCAACCTTTTAATGCCAGTAAATGTAAATTTAAGTATCAAAAGTTGTTTATTTTTATAACACTGTTTAATGTTATAAATTTAAACACTCGGTAGGTTTTAAATTAAATATAAAAAGTTGTTTCAAATATTAAAATAAAACTTTTTTGATTTATAATTGTATACACTTCATATCTAATTTCTCCACTAATAATGTTTGTAATGAAATAATATATTAAATTCAAAAGTGTAGAAATCGTGTCCATTATTATTAAATATGTAAAATTTGAGTTACAAAGTGAGGTTTGAAAGTAAACTGGTGGATACGTATAATTTTGAATTTTGATTAATATTCATTGTGTTATATTCTTGTTTGTTTCATCAAGTGTCGTTAAGGAAATAACGTGCCTATCTGATTAATGTCTTTAATTTCTCCTACCAATCGTACAATCCAAACTTTGTCCCAAAAATAATCTTCCCATTTACACGACTATTATACCTGAGCATTTGGTAGTATTTTATCTAAATTTTAGGGACAAGCTAAACCGTCCAACATTTGCCAGCCAGACAAACATAAGTCGATTAGTTTACACTTTACCAGAGGTAATTACTGGATGCCCCTGGTAGGGATGTGAAGCCTCTAACCCAGCGTTTCTTAAACTTTTTTATCCGTGGAACCCTTTTTTATGTGCACTTTCACCGTGGACCCCCAACTTTTTTTAGCTGTTTTTTATTGAGCTCTCAGCAATAAATTATTACAGCTCGACAATTAGAACCACTACATTGTTTCAATACTTTCAATGCGTCATTTTATGTAAGAAATGTTTGCAATAAAAGTTATAATTATGTGCCAAAATTTAAAATTTTGAATAAAAACCACAAGTTTCGGGGAACCCTGAAGTGACCTCCGCGGAACCCTGGGGTTCCACGGAACACAGTTTAAGAAACGCTGGTCTAACCTATTCTATGTAACAAACTTCATGTGCCCATACTAAAAAAACTCAGAAAATTTCTTTTACAATAGATTTATTGAAAACTCTGAAATCATCAAAATTGTTTTAATTCCCTAACTATCAGGAAATCTCACAAGAAAGTCGAGAGTGCCTTAAACCAACGTATAGTGTTACTTATTTGAGTAAAGAATTATATTAAATATTTTCTGAGGTGCAACTAATGAATATTTTCATCTCGCATGTATCCCTTATTTCTATGTACCTATAATTTATTTTTTTTTCTTATTATGTGCTATCAAATATTCTATCATATTTTCTTACTGTACCTACTATAGTTCTCTATACAGTATGGATATTTTTTACGAGTATAAAAAAAAATGGTTTCATCATTACTTTTGAGCAGTATTTTTCTATATTGATATGTCAATGGCGAGGATGAAATATATATAATATACACTATAATATATAAATAAATAATATATATTATTAATTATTTATGAGATCTTAATTATAATTCTATAATAATTAATAATTCATCATTTAAATGTACAAAATATACTTACTCTTCGTCGGTTTTGTTTTTTCGCTCCCATTTCAGTACGGAGGCTAAATTCATTATGTTTGAACTAATAGGATCGTTGTGACAAATTGTGATTGCGGGAAATGGATTTTCAGACATGTGCCGTGGTTCATTAATATTAAATCTGTTCACTGGAGAATCATACCATTTCAAGACTATGTCGTACGACAAAAATACTAATAAAGCAAATGATCCGATTAATACGCTTATCCAATAGAGCCTATAGACAAAACGAAATTATTAATAATCTGTTTTAATTATGTTGTTTTATTTCACACACACGCCTTATCACAAACCAGTATCAGGATACATATTTTTCCCCCTTAAAATTATTAGCTTGTTAATATTACTTATATACCTACAGTTAAAATCGATATATTATTTTAAAATTCAAAGCACGCTTCCTGGCGATCTACTTGGACGGCTTAAACGAAACTATATAGAGATATGACTATTTATTAAAATATAGCTAATTGTTTCATAAAAAAACAAAAAAAAAAATATTTTTGTATGCATTAAATAGATAGCCAAGTCATTTAATAAAATAAAAATCGATGTATAATATACATAGGTATACTTACGATGAATATTTATCATCTGTCCAAAAATTATTCCTTAAGCTCATATGTTTCAATACATATTTTTGAATGCGTGTGAAATATGAAAATTGGCTTTTGATTTTTGCCATTATTTTGGATGTTAAGTGGTTATCAAGTTGAACGCCAAATACGTATTAAACAAAAATATCGAAACTCAAGTCAAACCGTGGTTCGTGTTTATTTCCCATACATTTTTATCTCCTATAACATACAGTCAATTTGAAAATATCAAAAACTTGCATGCTATGTAAATACCTACATAATATTAATTTTGTTTGGGTACGTTTAAACTAGGTGTATAATATTATGACACTATTATTGTAAATTCACCAGAGAGACTCTCATTAAAGCCATATTATACATTTATTATATCGTGCGTGTTTAATACACACAATATATATATTATGTCCATTACCCAGTATAGATAAAAATATTTACTATAAAAATTAATTTCCATTATTTTATTACATCCATAGTTTCATCTAGTATCATGATAAGGTAAATGGTGGTGTTTTTATTTTACTGGTTTTTGCATATTTTAGATAAAATGCATATTATTGCATATATTGAATAAAATTAATATTATTGCATATTATTTCGATTATAAGAATGCAAAAAATTCATGTTTTATAGTATGTTTCGTAATTAATATTTCACTCTGTGCCAACTGATTTTTCCACAGAAAAAGAGTATCCACCATACAGAGAACAAAATATTCGGTATATAGATTATGCGGGACTGTTGTTATTTTTCGTTGTAAAAAGATTTCTGTCTTATTGGGAGGGTGTTATAAGGAGATCTCACTGTAAGTATTTTTACTCACGATGAGCATTTATTATCTGTCCAAAAGTTATTCCTGAAGCTCGTATTGTTGATTATATATTTATGCATATATATTAAATATAAAAATTAGTTTCCGGTTTTTCCTATTATTTTGGTTAAAAATTGACTGTCACGTTAAACATCGAGTAAGCATTAAACAAAAATATCAAAACAAATGTCAAACCGTGGTTTGTGTTTATTACCTATATACATTTTTTACTCTTATATAGTCAATTTTAAAGTACTGAAAACTAGTAATTAGTTATACTATATCAGTATATTATTGATTGATATTTTCGCTATTATTTACTTTCAAACTTTACTTGTATAATATCATGACACAGCCGTATTATTGTAAATTCTCAAGAGACTCTCATAGAAGCTATATATATACACCTACTATATCGTGCGTGTTTAATAAACACAATTTATTTAAAAATGCATTTTCAATTTTTTTTTTTAATTATACAGCTTGATCATACAAACCGGTATTTACTTAATCTATATTACACGATATATGTTTATACTTTATTTAATAAATTATTAATAGAATATTTTAATTAGATAAATGTGTATATATTGCATAGAATAGACGAGGTCTGCTATAGAGTATAGGAGCAGTGCTATTAGTTTTATTATGTGCACACGTCTTATAGGCAAAATATTATTTTGAGAATTTTGATTAGGTGCATAAAAATGGAATTTCCATTGAGTAGATTATAAGTGATAACTTTTAAAGGTAACTTATAAGTATTAAAAGTTTTTATGAGTTTAGTGGAGTGACTGCTGAATGCTTATACACCACTTCACTAATTTTTTTTTCAAATATTTATGACTATCTGTACAAATACTCATTTGAAAAAATATTTAATTTGTATACGTCAAAAAAATTTAAAAATTATTCTGCTTCGGAAATTGGAGTATTATGAAATAAAAATTAATGTGCGTGTTTTGGGTACACATAGGTGAAATGAAACTCTATTTTGTAGATGTAAGAAGTTTGAATTAGGAGTTTGATATTTCCTCCAATTATAATATGAATAATACAAATTTATATGATTGTATCCACCTTTTCTCATATGAATCAATGGAGTAATACTGTTTGTTGTATCATTTTCTTTATGATAAATAGCAACTCCTGCAGATCAAACAGTCGATTGCTTATATTCGATAATACATTTGAAAATAAATACATTTAAATACTCATCATGATGTTTCCAGGTCACTGATAAAATGTATAGGCTGGAGTTATGAAGAACGATATTCAAGATACCAGTTAAATGAGCTTACAAAAAAATATACGAACTTTGATAGTTTATAAAGACTATATAAATTGTCAACTCTCTTCTCTTCTGATTTATAAAATTGTAAATTCGTTGGTCAATTGTCTCCAGAGGATTTTTGTGAACCTCTTGGATTCATCATAAAAAGTAAAATCGTCATCTCAGAATAAATCATAATGAAGAGAATTTCAAGATTTGAAACCCTTGATAACGTTACTGCTTAGAGAGTGAATGTGAGTGTCTTTTCTCATATTCATAAGCCACCTCACACATCAGAGTACGTGCTGCTTTGTGATTTATAATTATTCGTCACACAAGCACACACTATTGGTAAAATGGTAGATAAAAACATCTCAAGTAAATAGTTTTGGTCTCATTAAGGTGATGGTTGATGATATTCTTGTAACTAGAACTGCTGATGAGTAGATGTTATGAGCGTTTGACACCAGCGTCAGTGTCTGTTTGATTTTGTTCAATACGAACCAATTTTACCTTTGCACCATTCGCCAACCCATCTGATTCATTGATATTAGTTGTTATTAAATAATTAACTTAAACATGGAAATCGTTTCATATGGTACTCTATCATTGTCAGTCAGTGACATTTAATGACATTTTTGTCATAGGAGAACTTTTTGACTTGCTGACGTGCTCACAAACAACTGACAAATACATTATTTGCTATGAAAACAATTTTATCAGTGGCAGCACTTAAAATTCTATGCCTACACTCACTTTCTGACTAATTATATTAAATAAAGGGATTACTCTTGGACAGGGGCCATTTATTTGCGTTTTGGTAAGCAATTGTGTCTATGTTCATGATCTTGATGCTTGTTACATAAGTTTGTCACATGACCTAGTGCAGCTAAAAACACTATGTCATAAAAATTCATGCCATAAAGTAGGTACTATAATATTTTATTTTGATAATTGGTAAATTGCAGTAGCCTAAACTGGTGGCAGTTGCCGTAAATCACCAATGAAAATTACATCAGCCCTCCAAAAATTACATTGAAATTATTCGTAATCTATTGCTAACGGTCGTTGACTTGTATTATTAATTTGAAACTGATCATGCTTATTTCGTCTAAGCCTTCTCTGTAGCCTCAAGCACTGTCAGAATCTGTTTTACCCATGGTTTAAACCAGGGATCCTATTATCTTATAAACACTGTACCGTCTGTACCCCTTTTTATGAATATATTTTTTTAGTACCCCTTTCTTAGTTACTAAACTAAAATACATATTAAAAAAATAAAAGACTTTTAAAGAATTTTTTCCTTGTTGGTTTGTTGGCCAGACAGACTCGTACCACTTAAAACATTTCGAGTACCCCCAAAGGGTACGCGTACCACAGTTTGAGAATTCCTGGTTTAAACGATTGATTTTTAAACGATGTGCCATGGCATACTTGTGTACCTCAATCATTATCTAGGTGAGTCATGAGTTTTTTTTGTAATTATTTAACTTAATAAAAATGTAATACAGTAAAATATAAATTTATAAGAATATATATATATTTATACCTCATAAAGTACAAATTTGTTAATCTAATTAAGAGCAAAAAATTAAATAATGGCAAAAAATGCATGGCTGACACTTGTGCAATGAAAGTATTGAGAATATCACAGTGTGTCGTATTTAATAAAAAGGTTGAAAACCACAATATTTTAAATTGTAATATTTTAATGATTTTAGATTTTAAAAATATGTAGATAAACACACAATTGTTGTTCGTGTCTAGGTAGGTACCCTCCATAGAGGTTTCCCTTCAAAAATATATTGTGTCGTTCAAAAAGTTAAAAAAAAATTTTAAATGTTTAATGATAAAATTGTAAAAATATAATATTTTTTTCAAATTACTTCAAATTACGAAAAAAAATTAATTTTTGAAAACTTATACTTTTATGATGTAACGAGTGTTAAATGTTAAAAGAATCACACTGTATATAATCTATATTCACGTTTAAAATAAACTTAATATCATTTATGTATGTGGTTTACTAATATTATAACTTCATAATATCATAATATAGTTATAAAATACACGCATATATGCAATATGTATTACCTATGTAGTATGTATATTATTTTGTAGTTATTTCACATGGTTATTTATTGGTCTACGTGGTGTGAAACATGCTTTCGCATAGTGTAGATATACATTATATTATTATATTATTATACCTATAATATTTAAACTATAGATTGCAGTCTATACACACTATTTAAAAAAATTCTATGCGGATATTAACCAACACAAAAATGTATGCTGTTCCGATCGATGAGCAAATGAATAAAATATGTATTTTAGAAATAAAATAAAATAAGAAAACCCACCACTTTAACCTTCAACTTAACTAACGCACGACAAACGCAGATGATGTACCGATGAACAATAACAATTCCAATATATGTGTGTATAGATATAGTTTTTAATTAATTGAAGAAGCCGCCAAAAAGTTATATTAAGGGCTTCTCGTACCGCACAAACATCTGCAGTGTGTATACCAAATTGTATTGGAAACGGTCGTATCCGTAAACGTCGATTGTAAAAGTATAATTCGGTTATGTGCGTTAAATTATTATATATTATTCATTAGCTAATCGTAATTGGTTTTTTTTTAATATTATAATAAATCGATAATTATAAAATATCCACTTGTGCAGGGTTGATTTTTCTTTATCTGTGGTGCGCGTACGTGTAGTTGAGTGTGTATATATTTTAATATAAATGATATAATATATATATATATATATATTTCATATATACATGTATATTAAATATTTATCAATACGTTAGCATTTTCTTCACGGTGAGCTGATAAAAACCCGAGTCTTACATACTGATAACCACTCGTACATATTTTTTTTTTATAACTACGATGAGAATAGGCTCGGTGATAACCTCGAGTAACCCCATTATAACAGGTAGGAGGTTTCCGAAGAAATAAATATGTAAAAATATGGTTACCTACTTATAATAATAATTGATGGGCAATACGAGTATAATAATAACTAGTATTTTAGTATATTAGTAAATTAAGATATTATTTCCTATTAGTCATTCTACTGGCCAAGGAATAAA